CTCAAGTAAAATGAACTCAAGGGACGCCCCAAGGGTATAGAAATCAAATATAGAAATTAAAGGGGGGGTGGTATTTTCTTTTTTATTTTTCTGGGAAGCTCACTGTCAAAGTCCCTTACTCCTTTGGAATGTATGCACTGAAAAATGTTCACTCTTCATACGATGGAAAGAGTAATTTACTATTTTTCTGCACCTTCACATGGCCTGCCTACCCTCTAGAGCCAAGATGGAATGCAGAGGAAGTACTGATTACAGTGCTATCTCACAACTAGAATTTTACTGTAAGAGAAAGGAAAAATGGTCAAAACTGCCTTACGTCCAAACTTTCTTTGCATTAAGAAATAATCCTTATTTTTGGTTCAAAATGTAAATATGAGCCTCAGGAAAATGAGACACCTCTTGCCTTTTAAGACATCCATTATGTCTGGGCTGAGGCTGCTCCCCTTAGACCTCTGGAGCCTGAGGACCAGGTTTCCAGGACAACCTTAATCAGAGCCTTGCCCATTCTTATGAGTCTGAGGCTTCTCCTACTTGCCCTCTGGGCCTGAGGGCAAAGCTTCTAGGCCAGCCATGATTATACATGAGACTGTATCCATCCTTAGCTGATTTTGTTCAAGCGTCTCAAGGACAATATCCCTTACAGAAAGTAAACGGGGAATTTAGAACTACTCCTGTTCCTGTGACCACCTTCTCTCAGTAACCTAAAACAGATCAGGCAAGATCTAGGAAAGTTTTCAGATAATCCTGATACGTGCACTAAAGTCTTTAGAGGACTTACTCAGACCTAAAATCTAGATAGAGGAGATACAATGTTACACTTGTTAAACCATTGATTTCTAGTGAGACAATGAGCACAGACTTTAATCCATGAGTTTCCTAAGTGTATTACAGATACCCAGAGATACATATTTTCAGAGTAGATTTAAATAGAGCCTAGCCAGCACTACTGCAAAGGAAATTTACCTAGGTGACTGGATAGAGAACCCAAAATGTCTCAAAGACCTCTTTGTCCTAGGGCCTAGATTTCCTCTGGACTCTTACCTGCCTCTGTCTGTCCCAGGAGGCAACAGATCTCTTTTCCAGGCTGGGATTTCAGAACTTTTGATTCAGAGTCATTTATTAGAAAATAAGTCCTACACAATATAATTGGAACCGTTTCATTTTCTCTCACTTTCAAAAGGTTAAAGAAACAGTCATTCAGGATCTTTGATTACTGGTTTCAGCTTGCTTGGCAATACAGGTGGAGTCAATCATAACGTTTGTCTTTGCAGTCAGGTTTTGCTAAGCATCAGAGATTCACCTGGGAAAGCTCTTCATCTTAACTGTCTCTCTGCACCTGAGATGATTAGGGTGTAGCTCTTGTGCCACACCTGGAGTCACTCTTCTGTCCCTTCTGCGCTGCCCTGCCCCGAGAAATAACACAGTTCACAGCCATGTTTGGTCCAAAGCAATTCTCTCCTCTGTGGTTGTTGAATTTCAGGAATGTTTCCCGAATGGTGAGTTTCCCCTCCCTGGTACCCTTCCAGAGCGAAAGTGATCTTCACTTATCTCTGGGTCCTATTCAGAAACTGATCTAGATTTAATCCTGAAGCTCTCGAAGAATAGATGGACAAGTTTTAGTCCAAGTTTATCTACCTTTTAGTTCTCAGACAAAACTGGAGATTAACTTCTCTCTCCTCTCATCAAGAATGATGCTGACTGATTTTTATAGGACAAGACCAACTGATTTTTACAATACAGGTGAGTTCACTGATAGAACACAACATTCCTAGGGAAGCTTATGAGTTTAATAACCGTTTTAAATGAGAACATTAAAAAATAGGCACAGCCCCAGTTCGCAGGGGACGGCCTCTCTTCATGATTTCTCTCCAACCAACTCGCCAGGCTGGCCACTATTCTCAAAGATACACTAACTGAGGCTCTAAAAATGAGGCCCTATAGCTGAGCATGGTCCAAGGGTCCCAGGCAAAATGGGTAAAACTGTCATAGGTAGGTCTCTGCAGCAGGGCAGACTGAAGCCCTGGCAGACCTTCCTCCTCTACAGTTTTAAATTCATACTTAGCTCCAAAGAGTGCCACCTAGCCTCCTTCTACACCCAAACCTGGCCTGCCTGGAAATAGTTACCTTTAATAATCTGTCCCTCTAAAGGACACACAACCATGAGAAGCCTATACAGTGGGACATTCTAATAGATACACTATCAGCCTAGGACCCATTTTAAAAACACTTTGTTTTCACAGGTATAAAAGGTTTCACTCCTTCTGATTCTTACTGCAAGGCATCTCTGTTAATTGGCCTACAAAATGTTCTGATAGTCTATTTACAGTTATAAACTTAAAAGCTACAAATGTTATTATAATTCAACTTGGCCAAGTACATCTGAGTGCACTCTGGTCTATTAACAATGTGTGCCTGTGTATCTGTTTCTTCAATTTGTGACTGGTTACAGTACAGCTATTCTTGTTTGAGCTCAACAATTTTTTTCTTCTTTTTGCCTTTTTGGATTTTTAAAATATTTGTCTATAGCTTAAGTTGGCTTACAGATGTCATCAGAGTTAGGGACATGCTTCCACCCAGCTTGTCAACTCAACAAAATGATGTCAAGATCTCAGCCACCAACCTGGAACCCCTTCTGTCTCTCGTAGACAGAAGCTTTCTTTCCCCCAGTAAATATTTCCTGCTGTTAACCTCTGTTGCTCTTTACAATTCATTCTTCAGTTTTGGGGAACACGAACTCAATATATCAGACATCTAGCAGGTTAGGAGTTATAATATTTCCCTCGTATTATTTAGATTATTTGGATGTCTTATATCATCCCTATAGGAGTGTGCCAAGATCCTGGAAGAGATACACAGAACAGTTCCCAAAGCCCTGCACGTGGACTTCTTCTGAGTATCCAACAGGACGGGCTAGATCTGACGTCAGCCTGAGGAATGGAAGATACAAAAACGATGGTCCACACTGAGTTTTGGCCACTGGTTTGTCTTGCATGGTGGCCATTCTCACCTGTAGGGTTTACTTCTTTCCCTACTTTTACTTGACCTTAACTCGCTCTGTAGAGTGTATTTCTTTTCCTACCTTCAATAAAATGCTGCCATTTGTGTTTGTTTTGACCAATTCTTTGCTCAGGCCAAAAAGAACCTAGAAACTCCCTCCAGAAGCAGACTCCAGCACTCCAAAACATGTTAACAAAACTACAATCAAGTAATGAGAAATTCAGAGGCAATACTGAGGTAAGACAGAGTGAAAACTAGATAGAAAAAGAGACCAGGAAATTGGGATTTTAAAGATGTACTTTGAAGAAAAACTGCAGCTTCAGAACACAAACCCAGTTTATTTACTTTTTTTCTCTCTCTTCTCCCAAAACAGAGTAAAGGGGTTGTCCCTTTCCTTTTCACTTGCAAATGGTCCTCCTTCACCCAGGAATCTCAAAAGGCAGCGCTTTTGAGATTTCCCAGATGATTGGATCATTATCCCATCAGGGTGGGCCATCCTGTCCAACCCACTAGGCTACACTAAGACCACAGATAACTGAATCCCACATATTCCCACCACCCAAAACACATAAAAGAGCCCCACTTTCCAACTGCATCACACCTCACTTCTCTGAGCACCTGCACTCCGCTCTTGAGTGCATCCTCTGTCTACCCCTAACAGACCTTTCTCATTTCTCTTTTACAGATGCGTCCTGAAAATTCTCTTCCCGTGATAGGAGTAAGTGAACCTGCAAACATGTTTTACAACAGTAGGCTGTTCTTATTTCAGCATAGAGGACCTTCCAGACGCAGCTCAGTGACAATACTTCTGAGACTGTAATATACTACTGGAAAATACTACCACTTTAAAAAATATGATGTTGAATTTTTTAGAAGTACATTTATTTATAGAATAGTACTGCCCAAAAATGAAATACCAGGTAAGCCATGAGTACACTTTAAAATTTTCTAATAACCTAATCAACAATGAAAAGAAGGCCAAATTAATCTTTCTACTTAATATATCCCAAACAGTATCATTTCAATGTGTAATCAATGAAAACTTATGAGCCATTTCACGTATACTAAGTCTTGAAATCCAGCCTGCATTTTACATTTACAGCATAAATGAATTTGCCCTGGGCACATCACAGCATTCAGCAGCCACATGTGACTAGCAGCTACATTAATGACAGCCAAAGAATAAGGGCAAAGGACAAACTCATTTTCATCTTTTTTTGTTTGTTTGTTTGTTTTTCCGGTACCAGGAATCGGACTCACAACCTTGTGCTTGCCAGGCAGACACTGTGCCGCTGAGCTAAATCCCCAGCCCTCATTTTCATCTTTACTGAAGAAGGAAGTGTTCCAGGTACACACATTACCAATATTTCACACTTACCTTTCAAGCAGCTTCTCCTTTATTCATGATGATAAATCTTTGTAAACATAATACAAACTACACTATTTTCTAAACAAAGGATTACAATAAACACAGCTAATTCTTTCCTTAGTATTTTTGTGGTTTAATCTTAAGTGTACACCCCCAATTCTGATGTATTAATCTACTGACAAGCTGAGTAGCTGACTGCTACTATGAGGGGGTCTGGAAGGAGGTGGCCCCTGGGGCGTGACTGAAAGGCACACTCTTGTCTTAGGCTCTTCCCTCCTCTGCTTCCTGGCTGCAGGGGGTGAGCAGCTTCCCCCTATCAGGCCCTGTCACCACGCCATTTCTGCCTTGGAGCCTGGTGACTGTGGTCCTAACCTCTGAGGCTGTGAACCAAATAAACCTTTCTACCTTTAAATTGTGGGTATCACGTATTTTGTCCCAGGGATGGCAAAGCTGACTAATAAGTATGATACATTCATAATACGTTTTAGAGCAGAATAGTTTTACTAATGTAAAATTTTTAGAAGTGGAAAAAATATTGTGATTTATTTAAACCTATTGGTTGAAATCCAAGTTAAATTTAAAAAGGCACTTGTCCATTATCGATCAATTGTTCCAGCTCAGCACCAGCGCATACCTTTTGGAACTGCAGGTTTAACCGCCATTCTGCCAACCAGGCATTCTTTCAGCATGGATTCGTAATTGACCCAGCGGTGAACCTGGCATGGGAGACAAATGGCAGAGAAGTAACATGACTAACTCCAAAACATACTCTTATTTTATCATGAGTAAAACTAAACCTTCTTGAACACTCTGAAGCTGATAAAAGCAGTGTTCTCAAAGTGTAGTCTACAGACTTTTGAAGGCTTCTGATACCCTGTCAGGTACCGGTGAGGTCTTGATTAGTTCCATGAGAATACTAAGATGTTGCAGTAGTACCTCGCTTGACAAACTTAATTTGTTCTACGACTTTGGGGAAGATGGGTGCCTTTGTGTTTGTGTGAGGTGGCCGTGGTTGTGTTTGTCACCCTATGTGGGGTGTGTGAATGGAAGCAAAATTTCGTCAAATACTTTTGTTTAAGAACCAAGTTGTTTGTGAACAGATGTGAACTGAGGTATTACTGTATTTGGCTTTTTCTCAGTTGTCCCATTTGCAATGATTCTACGAGCAATGGTGGGTAAAACTGCTAGCACCTCAGCACTGATCAAGACAGTGACTCCAAACTGCACAGGCAGTCATTCTTCACCACTGTGAGGCTGCAGGGAGATTTAACAAGGTCCTGCACAAAAAAGGAAAATCACTAATTTACTTAAATCTAGACAGTTAGGACAGGTCTTTTTTATGTTCTGTGTAACAAAATAGGAAGGTCTCAAAAACCACTGAAATGTTAAGTTTGGTAGTCACCTTATGAAAAACCTTAGCAACTGTTTGATTTGCAAAATGAATGGGATTTTTCTTGAGGGGCCATTAACAGAAGTAACTGATGAACAAGCTGGTTATTTTAACTTTGGTACTGATTTAACAGATGTTTTCTTGAAAATGAACAAAGTAAAATTATTACTTCAAGGAAAACAACTGACAGCCATTTATTGCTACCAGTGGGAGTAAAATTTAAACAACCTTTCTAAAAAGCACCTTCTCAATATATATAAAAGTCTTAAAATGTTCAGCCCTTTCATTCAGAGACTGTACTTAGGAATTTATCCAAGAAAATATCTGTATACACAGACAGATGTGAGTACTAGTGTAGAAAATAGTTTATTAGCTTTTGAGTAAGGCAGCTAGCTAGCCGAAAGGCCTGAGACAGAGATGGGTGTGCAGTCCTACCGATGGAAACTAAAATAAGAATAGACAGTGAACTGGAACTCTGGACAAAGAATGAACTTCCTTAGTGTTATGGTTGATACACTGTGTCAATTTGAGAAGTTCACAAAGTTAACTACGTGGCTCAGTGGGGGCCAGGGACCTCACTTTGTAAACCTCCTGAGCCTGTAGAAGAGGAGGGTACAGAGAGGGGTGGCCTGCTTACAACAGAAGGGAGAAAAGCAGGCTTGCTCTTCCCCTACTTGCTGTCTTCTGCCACCTTGAACACTCTGCCATGTGCCACTCTGCCTTGGAGCCAGCTGACTACAGACCCAAACCTCCACAAACTGTGAGCTAAATAAGCCTTTCCTTCCTTAACTATGGGTGTTGGGGATTTTGTCTCAGCAATGAGAGAAAAATAACCAAGACACTCGGGAAGCACAGAATGCGCAGCCTGATTCCTACTAAAGCAGGGTGATTACTCCCTACCATGCTCCTGAGTTGTGAGGAACTTACAATGAAAAATAACAAGGTCTGTTTCTCTAAAATCCCAATTTCCTTTAAACTATACATGCTGAAGAACTGGGTTAGAGAGCCTGAGTTCTAACTGGTCATTTTAAATCCAGAGCTGTCTGTGATAGGTGGCCACTAAACAACTGAGCACTCCCTGTGCTCCACTTATCTCTAGGGAGCTCTGGACCGAGAGGGGAAGTAGCCACCCTCTCAGCACCCCTCCTGGAAACGCAGGAGCTGCTTTTCCATTTCCAGTTAAACTCCAACCCCTCCTTGAGATCACAAACTTGGCACACCTGACATTTAACATGTTGGGAGTTATTTTTCCCTTATCTCTAGGATATTCATCGTAGCACTATTTAAATAAGCAAACCACTGGAACAAAGTAAATCTTCAATTGTAGAAACATCAGAAAAGAAAAATCACAATATATTACTTATAAAACACTATAGAAACATTAAAATAGATAGGTCAAATATTGATACAAGAGTATTTATAGTATGAGCCTGAGTAAATATATATTAAAGTAGCATATATTTTTTAAAAACACATATATTTATAAATGGGCATTCATATAATAATACACAATAAATTGAAATTTTATTTGACAAATTTTTATGGAGTAAAACACTATCTTTGGAAATATGGAGCTAGGTAGAATTTAAGTAGCTATATAAAAGAGAAAAGTATAAGAAGGAAGAAAAAAGTGTAACATTTAAAGAACGATCATAGGGTTTGACCAGTGACTGAGCACTAGGGCACACGGCAATCATGCACGGGCTCATCCCTTTATCAGAAACAAGAACCAGGAAAAAGAGGAAAGAAAAAGTGATATTATTTGAGAACATACTAAAGTTGAAGAAGCGCCCATCAGGCATCTGGAAACGCAAGGTAAGAGATCAGGACTGGGATCAAAACTGGAGACAGAAATAAGACAATTAAAAAGATTAATACTTTTGGACAACTCAAATACTGGCCACAAGTAAAGTTTCACAATGAAAAATCCAAGAAGCTTTACCACTTTTTAGAATACAAAGTTTTTTTACTTCCACGGTATGTAGAAGTCCTAAGTAATTTAAATTTTCTGGCCTCATTAAAGCCAAGGGAAATACAGAATCTGGGAAGCACAGTATTATTTTTACTACTAAAGAACTTAATATAGCACTTCTTGTGACTTCTCCCAGACAAGCTCTCCTTAAACAGAGCCCATGTAAATTCACACTACTGAGAGCTGGGTGTGGTGGCGCACGCCTGTAATCCCAGCACTCAGGAGGCTGAGGCAGGAGGACTGTTGCGAGTTGGAGGCCAGCCTGGGCTACAAAGTGAGCTCAAGGCCAGCCTGAACTGCAAAGAAAGACCCTGTTTCAAAAAGACCCAAAAAAAAGAGACAAAAATAAAAAAATTCACACTATTGAGGCATGTATAAACTCAACACTGTGGAATATAAATAAGCCTAGATTTTACTGAAAATTATTCTTGAAGAATATTTGAAGAAATTTCAAAACTTACAAAGCAGATAAAAGAAAAATACGGCAGGCAAGCTTTTAGGCAAACGTTCCTTGCATTTCCAGGTAATAACAAATATCAACTGACATTGGGAACTTGGGTTAAAATAGTAGTAAGAACGCCCTAATGAGAACGCTATCATGACCAATGAGCAAACATGACCTCAGGAAGAGGTCAAACTCAGGAAGACCATTAAAACAGCCAAAGAGACTTTGCCACTTTGGTAGATGCAAAGTATACTTCCAAGTATAAAACAAATTATACTTCTGGCAACCTGGTTCAAAAACACATACATAAATGAAGAGGCATTATGAACAGAAATCAAATTGTATTTAATCAAAAACAACTCTAAAATGACTCAGTCTCGTTCAGTATCTTGAATGATAAAACCCAAGTACTATAATGTGGGTAAGTATCATTCAAATATAAAATAAAGGACATGTGAGGACAAAGGCAAATTTCTGTCCTTCTCAGGATTGTCTGTTATCTCAGAATACCAGTTCAGTAAATTGACAGTAGCTCCCATATTCTGCATACCTGCTAAATAGTGCAAGAACTAATACTTATGTAAATGTAAGAGGGAAAGTGATTAATTTAAATATCTTTTGAGATACAAGAATCTCCGGTACCACTCTACAAAAAAAAGTAAGTTTTGTATTCCCTACACAGCTTCATTTAACTTTCATTTAACTTTCTGAATGATAATGCAGATTCAGCACAGCCAGGCAGGATGAATATATAGCAGTCCCAAATGAAGACAGACAATGAGCAAGAGGCATGATTCAGCAAGTTAGTAGCAGCAGATCACAGTGCTCCTTCTCCCACATGTTACTGTTTCGCATAAGTCAATTATCATCATTGTTAAAATTAATCAAGACCGAGCCAACAGAGGAGACTAAAAACATGCCAGAGATACGAAACCATTTCTAAATTTTTAATGTAACAATCTGAAAACAAATGCAATGAACAGCTGCTACTTGTGAACATTTGCCTATATTTCAAAATTCAAGCCAACACATTTGAAACACATAAGGTTTTTTCTATCTATAAAATCACACTGCCAAAGCCATGAGCTCTCTTCCACTGTAATAACTTTGATTACTTTCTGCATCTTACCTGATCAAAAAGGTCAGTACCATCGGATCCCGCTGCTCTCATTAGTTCATCTTCTCCCCCAGGATGATATTCCATATACGGGCTGACATTATAAACAAACCCTGTATCAAAGCAAGGGGAAAAACTATTCTAAATGAACGTCTTAAAAATTGTAAAACCTATAGATGGAAGTACCAATATATCTTTCCTAGTACATTTATGTAACAAATCTGTGTCAGCATATAAAGCCTGAAATAGCCAATGTTTTCTCTGCTACTTCATAATCCTTTAGATTGACACTTAACCTCTCATAATTCTATACCCTTTCTGATAACACTATGCCCAACCTGTGGATAGGAAAAAACACTGTTAGGGCTTATATCTATATATCACCCCACAGGGGCTTTTGGGATTCACTGGATCATTGTGTGTGATACTGAATTAGTCCACTGATTAGTTTAGCACAGTTCTGGGTATAGGTGGTGGATTTACTAAAGAAGGAAGACCCACCCTGGAATGGGTGGCACCAACAAATAGGCCTGTAGCCTGGATAGAATAAAAAGAGAAAGAAGAAACATGCCTCACTGCTTCCTGTCTGCCCTGCCATGGACTGCTTCTCTGATGTGATGTCCCTCTGAAATGCCCTCCTGCCTTGGAGCCAGCTGAATTTGTACTGAAAACTCTACAAACTATGAGCTAAAATGAACATTGCCTTCTTTAATTTGTGGGTGTTGGGTATATTTTGTCCCAGCAATGAGAAAGTAACTGAGACAGAAAAAAAATAAAAAAATAAAAAAATAAAACTATAAAGGATTCTAAAATCTCTCACAATAAGCAGTTAAGATTATTTGACAGTATTTTAGTCAAAGGCACAGTAGATCAAACTGCACTTGGAATTTGTTAGTAATTTGCTAATTATGAGATTTTAAACCAGTCACAAAAGGGTACTGGTCCACTTATAAATGCCCTTCCCACTACCCCCATGCTGAGAATTGAAAGCAAGGCCTTTGCACTGAGCTACATCCCCAGCCCTTTTTCAGGTCTCATTTTGAGACAGGATCTCACTAAGTCAGTAACTTTCCCCTGGAGGCATTATCTTACAACTGAAACTTTGCACCTCTGAATAGGGCAGAAGAAAATAAATACATATTATGCTTTTCTTTCATACTTTATTATCCTTTCTTTGTATTATACATGGATTTTACTAAGGAAATCTCTCATGTACAAAGTTCTAGCCTGTTATGAGTTCTGAGTACCTGGTTTTTAAAAACTAACCCTGTAACTCTCTCCTTTTTCTAATGACATAATTTCATTAATTTCTTCCTACATTTTTTAAATGCTTAGGTGTGATACATTTGAGTATCAGATTGTCTATTACACAGAAATATTTAATATTTGTGAACCAAAAGACATGACCTCAAGTTAATGCTGGGTTCTTAATAAATAGTAACATTAGAAGCAGAGGTGATTGGTAACCAAGGTATTCCTACCACAACACAACTGATAAATCAGATCATTTATATGAGTGACTTCCAGTGGCACAAAGGGATTCAAGGAAGAAATCTATTTCCATTCACCCATCCATCCACCCTTCTTTATGCTGGTAATTTATTTTGTGTCACAATTAAAATCACATATTCAGAACAACAGCTAAACTGAGTTTCTTCAACTATGTACTGGTGGTAACTTAAGCATGATACTCTGCCTCAGCTTCCAGCAATTCAGTTTGTTCTCTCACCTAGTGCAGGATTTACTTCTATCTATAGCTAGTTTATCCAGCAGCTGCTTGAACAGTTTCAGTACTTGTGTGCTCATCATTTTTTACAAAACCATGATTAAGGATTATCATATTAATATTATCCCTTTGTTACTGCAGACTGATATCTCCCACAATCTCCCAAACCAATGTACAGCAAAGGCTAAAATAAGAATCAAATGGTATGATTTTAGGGTTCCAGGAGGTCAAACCCTTAAACAGAATTCAAGATTCTTTAGGGGCTAAGACAAAGAACTTCCTTGGGCAGCCATATTTATTTGGTTTTCCAGCAAAGGAGGGAGATACTGAAGAAAACACAGATCTTGGGAGACAGTTCAAAGACTTCCACAGGTAGTAAAGTATGCTAATTAGGAGACTATCTTATCTCCAGGCTGACATTTATTGTAGGAGTGTGGGGCCTGCAGCTGCAGTCTCCTTTTAGTTAATTGGAGTTGGAGCCAGGCATCCTCAGCTGTGGCCTTGTCTTGTCCTTTCGGACATCATGGCTTCATAGGCAACTACAGGGCTCAGCCAGGACCAGTGATTCATACAGGTTCACTTACTATTAATCTGCTGCCCATCTCCAGACAAGGGGCATAGGCCTTGGACAGGCTTACAAGTAAACAAGGAAAGCCAATTGGTTAATAGTAAATGCTGCTCACAGCCACTCTGTAGTGGTCTCCATCAAAGGATCGACAGTGTTTCTTCCCCATCCCCAGGTGAGAGGGAGGAGAAGCAAAGAGGAAGCAAAAACAACCAAGATGTGATATCTATATACACCATAATGAATGTACGTAATGTATGACAAACATATACTGTGTATATACCCTTTATATACACAGTATATATCTACACATATACTGTATATATACATATACCACAAACATATACAATTTAAAATTGTTTTATATCTAAAATGAAGGCCATCATTTTACAGAAAGTACTACACCCATCTTCAAAACCACAGCCTTATAGCTTTTTAACTTTTTTATTTTCAAAATTAAAAAAAACTAACAAGGAAGACAAAATAAAAACAGCAAAAAACGATATATGACCTCAAAACAAAATGACAGGAATTAACAATCGTTGTTACATGACATATTCTTACCATCTACGAAGTTGCTCAGTCCAGCAGACATAAGAATGTAAGATTTTCATGTAAACTTATTATTTATTTGCTTTTAATTTAAACCCCAAAGAGTGTCTGATAAAGACTGCAGGCATCTTATAATAAAGTACCTGCCTTTAAGTTTCTTGTAAAAACTTAAAAAACACTCTAAAATGTGCAGAAGAAAATAAACCAGTTGCCTAACCTAGTTGACAATGTTACTATGACTGAGCATTTCATATAATTCTGAACTTCCTAGCAGCCAAGGCCAAAAGCAACACTAGTAGCGGTGCTCTTATTATGTGCTCTTTAAAAAATTAAGGTAAAACAAAGAAAGACACATTAGCTCTTTAAAAGGGAAAAACTTGCTAGATAATAGGAGGAATTATGAGCCATAACAAAGATGATATCGACCACACAAGAGATAGTACAACTCAACAACATACAGAAACATTCTTCCCATCTTTCCTAGCCCAGTAATGATTGATTTTTCTGTGTGAATAGATTTGAATATTCTGGACATTTCATATAAAAAGCCCTTCCGGACCTTGTCGCAGTCTGGCAAGTTATATTTGTAATCCCATGGAAAGTTACTGGAATTCTAATAAATTAATTCTAATGTACCATTTCCAGTGCAACGTGTCGTGAGAATAAAGACACTAAGGCATATCTGTAGTTGTGGGGAGCCAAGGGGGTCCTAAGCTAGGATGATGGCTAACCAGAGCAAAGGCCTCGCTCTAGCGCTGAACCCAGGTTTCATTAATTCGTGAAGAGGGGAGTGGCTCACGGATGAGTGACCATGAGAATGTCAATAAGTACGTGAGTGTTGTGAGCTGGAGTAGGTGTGAGGCCTGAAATCACCTCTGCAGTATGCACAGAGAGGGACAGACATGCAGAAGGAGTCATCTGCATAACACTATTTGAGGCAGTATCTAATGTTTTGGGGTCAGTGCTTCAGTTCTGATGTGTAATTTTTTATGCCCTGAGGAGTCATAGCCTCTTATCTCAAGGCTCGATCTCAGCCAACAGCGTGGGTACACAGGGCCTAACTCACACATGTTATTTGGGAGCTATAGGTGGGGCTTTGCTGACCTGTCACCTTCCTTTAAAGACTCTATATCCACACGTCAGGCAGACCCATTTGCACTGCTTAAAGCCAATTGAGGGGATAAGGAAAAGTCCTACTCAGCTCTGTACATATCAGTACATGGAAATAGGGCCAGGTTTAGCCAAAATGGAGATGAGAATTTTCTAGAGACTACATGACACATGATAAAATACAGACTTCAAAAGGTGACATGACGATATAGTCATCACCTATTAAACTACATATCAGAGATATTTGCCAAAACATAAGTCAATGTCACTTTTGTTTTGGAAAATACAGTTATTTTTCATAAATATAAGTACTATTTATGAAAACATACAGTGAGTATTATTTTATTTTTAAGTTAATTTTTAAATATTCCTTAAATTTCTTAAATGTTTACAGATAAATATTAAGCAGATATCGTAAACAAAAGCACACTGGGGTCCTCAATAATTTTTAAAAGAGTAAAGGTATCTTAAGACCAGAAAGTTTGAGGACCAAGTCAAAGTGGTATTTCTGCAATCAGATCAAAGCCTATTTTTTGGTTTTTAAAATTCTAAAGCCCCACGCTATATTCATTCAACGAAATTTCTTCAATGCCTATCATGCATGTACCAAACATTATGCCATTTTACTGTAATATTTTTATTTATTTCAATTAACCACTGTTTATCTTGTTAGCTTCAAAATAATAGAGGGAAAAGATGTTCAAATGGTAAAATCATGGCATGCTTTACTGTATTCAAATGTACAGATCAATTTTTCTAAGTACTAACTTTGCCATCTTGTGTTCAGTAAAGAAACTGCACATTATTTTCATTATACCTACTGATTTTTATCTAGTTCTAACAACTGATAAGAGATGTGAAAATACACAACTGTAACTGGATTTTAATTTTAGCCTTCAGTTCCACTAAGGTATGCTTTGTATATGTTGAAGTTTTGTTTTCACGCATAAACACAATCATTCTAATAAACTAAGTCTTTTTATCATTATGAAAAGTCTTTTTTTTTAATCGCTGGTAAAACTCTTGGGTAAAGCTTTTTATCTAAGATTAATATAGTCAAGCCAAAAGGTCAAATCAATAATGCACCTTAATGTTTGTATAGTACACTTTCCCCTGTACATTTACGTTCAACTTATTTATCTTTAAAGTATACTTCTATGGACATGGACGTCATGGAGATCTGTTTCTTTTCATAACTTGATAATACACATACATAAACACACGTACACAGAGAGATAATCTACCTTTTAAGTAGAAGGTTTGACCCACTAACATGTAACTTACTTACTGAGACTGAATTCATGTCTACCTGTAATGGCTGATACATTGTGTCACCTTGAGAAGTTTAGAAGTCTAACTAAGTGACTCAGCAGGGAGATGGGGTCCTTACTCTGTAAAGATCCTCATCCTGTGCAAGAGGAGGGTACAGAAAGTCTGTGAGCGCGCTACACCTGCCCTGGGTGGCAAGGTAGCCTGCTTACAACATAAGGGGAGAAAAAGAGGCTTGCGCTCCCTTTTTGCTGTTGCTGCTTTTGCTGTTTTCTGCTGCCTTGAAATGTTGCCCCTGTGCCATGCCACCCTGCCTTGCAGCCAGCTGATTATGGAGTGAAAACTCCACAAACTGCGAGCTAAATAAACCTTTCCTTCCTTAATTTTGGGTGTCGGATATTTTGTCTCAGCAACAAGAGAAAAGTAACTAACAGAATTTGGTACCAGGACTGGGGTTGTTGCTGTGACACGACCATGTGGTTCAAGAGCCTTTGGGAATGGCTTGAGGGAAGAGTTTGCAAAGGTTTGGAGATGTCACCTGAAAGAGTAGAGCTGGAATGCCTTAGATTGTTCTGAATAGGAGATTCTGGTCAGACCTCAGAAGACCAGAAGGCTGATAGCAAATCTGCCGGTACAGACCAGGTTTGGGAGGTTTCTGCAGGGAACAAGGACTGCATTGGGTACTAGACTCCAGATGACATATGTTATGGCTTGGCAGATAGTTTGCCTGCATTTTGCTCATGTCTAGAGACGTTGCCTGAGACAGAGATTAAGGGTGGCAGACTAATTAATCTGGCAGAAGATATTTTAAGGCAGTTGAATGTTAAGGCAATGGCATGGCTACTGTTGGGGCTTTTAGACAGATTTATGTTGAGAATCAAGAGCAAAGAGCCCAGCGGGATGATTTAAATGTGAGTTTGGCTAGAAAGGAAGCTCCAGTAAAGGTGTGGACTGCCAAGATAGAGCTGAGAAGATCTCCATTGCTGAGAAGGAACAGGAAAATAGAAATGAAGGCCTGAGGGCATCACAAGAAGCAGCAAGTCTCCACCCTTTGCAGCCTCAAAACCACAAAAGTGAAAGACTGCTTTGAGAAGGAACAGAAGAATATAAAAGACGACCTGAATATAAAAGACTTTAAATATAAAATAATATAAATATATTGAATACAATATCTCTTGCTTTGAGAGAAAGCCATAGAGCACTATGTTCCAGAATGATGGCAGCAGCCATACCATGTGCCAGAATGGCAGCAGCATAGAGAATTTTTTCCTCAAAATCAGGTTCAGAGTGCTCAGTAATCCAGGCACTCGACCCCTACAGCCAAGAGAGGAGAAAGCCTGGCCACTGCTCCAGCTGGCAGCAGACCTTGGCATCACCCATGTGGTGCTGGTTTTAGGTGCATGCAGAATGCAGGATTTATGGGGTTAAAGAGGCTTCCACCCAGATTTCAGGTCTGGGAGCCCAGGCAGTTTGCCCCTGAGAGGGCAGTGTGTGAAGCCATGAATGAGAAGCCAAAAGTGTACTTGAGAACCCAGAAGTGTGGAAAATCCAGGAACATGGATCATCTAAGGAAAGTCGAAGGGAGGGAGCAAAACAGGCCTAAGAGAGAAGCCATGGGAGCTACAACCAGCAGAAGGGCCATAAGTGCAGAGCCACATAAGGCCTTTGGAGCTCACAATTTATCACATTGCTTTGGACATTCCACATGAAACTACAGGACTTAATGCTTGCCCTGCTGGATTCTGGACTTGCTTTGATCCCAATGTTTTGTATTCTTCTATTTGTGTCTTTTGGAATGGTAATTTTTAACTTGTGCCATTCAATGTTGGAAGTGTTTAACTTTATTTTCATTTGTACAGGGGCTCCCAGCTAAGAGTTTGCCTTACATCTCAGAGAAGACTTACGACTTAAACTTTTCAGCAATGCTGAAACTGTAAGGACTTTAACAACTCTTAGATGGACTAAATGCTTTTTTGCATAAAGAAATGTGCATGAGTCTTTGAGGGGCCATGGGCAGAATGTTATGGTTTGTGTCTGGATGTCCGCCCAAAGTCTCATGCAGTCATGGGGTGGGCTTCTGGAGATTTAATTGATTCATGGTCCAATGCTAGGATTATGGGTGTAAGTGCTACACCCACCCTGGAGTGTGTCACCTGCATATAAGGGAGAAAAAGAGGCCTGTGCTAGGCTTCCCCCTTTTTACTCTTGTTGCTTTTGCTGTTTTCCACTGCCATAAACTGTTGCCCTCTGCCATGTGCCACTCTGCCTTGGAGCCAGCTGAGTATGGACTGAAACCTCCACAAACCATGAGCTAAATAAACTTTTCCTTCCTTTTTTCTGGGGGTCAGGTATTTTGTCTCAGAGAAAAGTAACTAACACAATCCTTAAAGAGATAATAAAGGAATATTGGAAACAACTTTATGCCAATATACTTGACAACTGAGAGGAAATATATTCAACTGAGGGGAAATAAATTCACTGATTAAAACATATACTAATTAACTACAGAAACTACAAAAAAATGAATATCACTCTTTTTAGCACAAGCAATTCTTTTTCAAAGTATTGGCTGAAGTTTTTAAAGCACTATGTCAAGCAAGCAAAACATGTAAAGGTTTGATTAAACCAGTAGAAGCCAAGTCTCCTTGGATTATGACTGGAGAGGCCTCTGAATACCTAGATGGCTAAGCACCATGAAATGAATCTGGGAGAATCAATTCCCTAGGGGTCCTTGTAAAGCAGAAGGCTTGGGAACTCTCTTCTCAACTTTTTTTTTTGTACCAGGAACTGAACTCAGGTCCTTGTGCTTGCCAGGCAGACACTTGTGCCACTGAGCTATATCCTCTGCTGGAGCTCTTTTCTCAATGAAAGGTTTACCTTTTGCACACCTGAACCTGTGATCAGTGGGATCATGCTGATGCCTTGTATCTATTTTCTTAGCCTCACTGACAGGTTCAAAGTACTTGGTTTCATTTTAATAGCACCAATCTATTTAGTAACCACATCTTCTTTAGACTCAACTTCACATGTGCTTCTTTTTGAGCCAAAATTTAAGTTTTCCAAATTGTTCTCCTCTATTTTTGCTCCCAATTCTCGCCATTACACTGGCTAAATGCAACCAGCAATACCTATGCCACAGCCCAAAATTTGGGCTACCTTGAAATTGCCCCTGCCACAGCAATTAATCCTTATCCCTTAAACTCAGCCTTCAGCGAAGTCTTAGGATACAGGCAAACTGCAGATAAATTCTTTGTTAGACTGTAACATTCATGGCTTCCACTCCAATTCCCAAAAGAGTCCCCATCTGAAACGTCATGAGCTTAGCCTTTGTCCCCATTCTTATGAACATTCTGGTCTTCTGAGTTCTGACTAGAACCACCCATCGGTCTTTGCATATTGCATTCCAGTGTTTCTCTTCTCCAGCCTACATCTCCAAACTTTTAAAAATTCCTCCCAAAAACCCAGTTCCAAAGGTTTCTGAACCACATAGTCAGGTACAGTCACAGCACTGACCCCACTTCTCTGATAGCAATTTTCCTTATTAGTCAGCTTTCTGGTCACTGGAACAAAATATCAATACACACAACTTTAATCCTGTTAGGTCTTTCCCACTTTTGGTCATTTGAATTCAATCCATAAGGACTGAGGTTTAATTTGGTTCATAGTTTCAAAGGGTTCAGTCCATAACCTGCTGGCTCCCAAGCTGAAACATCAAGATAGAAGTGCATGGCATAGCAAAGCTGTTCACTTCATGGCAGCCAGGAAACACAGTACAGAGGAAGAATAACTGGGAGGGTTATACCCCCCAAAGGAACAACCCCAGTAACCCACTTCCAACTGGGCCCTACCTCCTAACAGCATATTCAGCTATGAATATGAGTGGATTAATCCACTGACAGGCATAGCACCCCTATGATCCAATCATCCCTGCAAGATTCTCAATCTAGTCAAGCTGACAATTAAGATTAACTTGCACAATTACCTACTTCTGTCTGTCTACTTATTTCTTTCAACATTCCCATTCATAATTCAGAATTTCTAATTTACTATGAACTAGAAAAATCTGGAAAATAGTATTTCTAAGAAATATACAGTAAGTAATAAACCTTGCTATAAATGAAACCTGAAAATCTGGGCTTAATGGTGGCTTTCTAGTCTCCTTTCATTTTTTTCCCAACAGAACTAAATTAAAGGCCCTGAGAAAGAAACTTCTATATAAATGGGGTGCTGCTGAATAATCTACTATACACCTTTGACATTAAAATTGCCAGGCAGACACTTACTCTCTGTTAAAGGGAATATAGTACAGAGGTGCTAAAAAAATTTATTTCTGAAGTTCATTATTTTCTGCATCAAAATGCAAGTATCTATATAAGGACTGTCCAAAGTCAGAACCAATTATTCACTCATCATTCAGTACAGGCACATTTTAAAATCTAATTCTGAATCCTATCACAAAATAGCATGACTATGGGTTATATGGCATTACAATTGAAAAGTCCAGACAAAAATTTAAAAAGATTTAACAATAAGACTTACCTCTGATACATATCCAACAGTCATCTTTTTTATTGTGTTTCTTAAGTTCTTCTTCAGTTACTTCAATTAGCCTGCCTTTTAATCCTGTTAGGTCTTTCCCACTTTTGGTCATTCGAATCCAATCCATAAGACTTCTGCCTTGTTTTAAAGGTACCTAAAAACATGAAAAAGAATTAAATATAACTTCTCCTTGTTGTGTTCTTTTTTCCTGCTAGGTGTCTTCAGGATACTTTATTATGTTTATTCCCATTTAAAAAAATAGAACTCAAATCTATCAATTCTAGAAATGCTCATAGTTCATGTCAAAATTGTTTTTCTTACATTAGAATTATAAATGAGACACGTATACAAATATGGGCAAAGAGGGGGACTCAGAAATTTTGTTTCACAGCTGCATTAATAATGGCACCATAGTATAACAGGACGGTATTCAATCCAAACTCAGAAAACATGTCTTGGTCCTGGCTCTGTCATTAATTATGTGAGAGTCACCAATCTGGACCAAAATTTCTTCACCTTAAAAATCAACAGACTTGGCTGTGTGCAATGGTGCACGTAATCTCAGTACACCAGGAGGCTCAGACGTGCGAATCTCAAATTTAACCCCAGCCTGGGCAACTGAGTGTTGAGTGAGAACCTGTCTCAAAATTTAAAAGGAGTGAGGGGAGAGTTAGGGATGTAGCTCAGTGTAAAGGCCCTTGGTTGAATCTCCAGCACACAAAAAAGAGAGATTTGATAGAAGAAAATATATACAAACAATTGACACAAGTTGACTTTTTCCTAATTATCAATATAAATAGAATATAAGAAATTTTTATGCAGTAATGCATCAATGTATTTTCTAAGAATCTAATTCTTATGGTTTATACCTAGCTGTCCCCCAAAGCCTCATGCACTCACAGATGGGGCTCTTGGGAGGTGACTGGATCATAGGGGCATGATTCTCATCAACAGATTAGTCCACTAAAGAGTTTATAGTTAAATGTGATGCTGAGAAGTGAAGCCTGGTCAGAGGAGGTGGGTTGGGGACATGACCTGGAAGGGTAGATCCTCTCTCTCCTCCTTTGACCTCTCTCTTTCTCTACTTCCCACCATCATGTCATGAGCCCTTTCTCTGCCAGCTGGCTATGGACTGAAACTTTTACAAACTGTGAGCCAAAATAAACCTTTCCCCTTTAAATTGTGGGGGTCTGTGGGGACACTGGCCAGAGGTATACATCAGGTGGATACACAGAGAAAAAGGGTCATTTGGAGCCACAAGCCCAGACCTCCCGGAATGCACGGTTCAAAATTAGAAGACAGTCTACAGAGCCACAGTCCAAGTAGGATGAAGACACACTACCTTAAGGAATGTATGCTCTGGCCCTTGTCCTCCCCGTACTGTTAATTACTTGAATTAGCGCTAAGGTCAGTCACGTGACCAACCACCCTGTTCCACCCCTGTCCCCTTCATGAATTTTGCACAGGTGTCTTTCTTTTGTTCTTTATCCTTGCTTCATTTTGTCAATAAAAAGACACAGAAACTTCAGTTTGGGGCTGTTTTCTCCTCAGACTCTTTCATGCTGAGGGGGTCTCACTTAACAGTCCTCTAGGCCCTCCTGGGCCATAAACTGGACATAAGACTCCAAGTATTCTCTCATCCTTTGTGCTGCAACAGTCATGAAATGTGACAGGTATTTTCGGGTACTGTGTCCCAGTGACAATGAAAGTAACTATGACAGGGTACCAGGAGTGGAAAGAATTTTGGAAAGATTTGGGGATGGGGGCTGGTGAAGCAGCCCTAGAACGGGTATGCCAAGCTTGATGGAAGATTCTCGTCAGAACTCAGAAGACCTGAATGCTGATAGAAATGTAGCTGGTACATGACCAGGCTAGAGATGTGAGTTTAGTATAAGGACTACATTGGCAGTTGGACTCCAAGCCATGCGTGTTATGGTTTGACAGAAAATTTGTCTACATTTTGCTGATGTCCTGAAATTGTGAAAGAGACTGAGATCAAGGACTAACTAATCTGGCAAAAGAAATTTCAAGGCAGCCCAATATTTAAGCTGTGACTTAGGTACTGTAGGAGGTCTTTGAGCAAGCTCTTCATTGACAAGCAAGAGCAAACAGCCCAGGAGAATAATTAGAAAGCTTTGAGTCTGGCTAGAAAGGCAGCTCCAATAAAGCTCTGGCCAGCAAAGATGTAGCACAGGAGAGCTCAGCTGCTAAAAATATTAGTACTAAAACAAGTCAAGTACTTTGGAATAGGAGAATAGGAAAAATAGGTAAAGGACACTTGAGGAACCAGCAAGGCCACCTTTCTACGACTCAAAATTACAAAAGTGAAAAACTTAGCTTTGAAAAAGTGCCCCAGAGTATTCTGCCAAAGAAGGACTGCCTAGGGAATTGATTTCTAGGGATTCAGTTTACTGTGCTCAGCCAGCCAGGCATCTGTAACCACCAGCAAGATGCCAAAAGGGCTCAGCTACTGCTCTTGGTGGAAGATCTTGGTGCCATCCACTCAGTACTGGTCTTATGCCCATGAAGAATGTAAGAATGCCAGAATCACAGAGGCTTCCACCCAGATTTCAGAAGGCTGGGGAGGTCAGGCAGTCTGACCAAGAGGGCAGTATGTGAAGCTGTGACGGTAAAGCCAAAAGTGCAGCTGAGATTCCAAGATGTTCAAACGCCAGGAACAGGGAATATCTGAGAAAAGCCACAAGGAATGGGCCAAGCCAGTACAAGAGAAAAGCCATGAGAGTTATGACCACAGGCATTACAATAGGGGTAAGGTCACTCACCCAAGCCATTTGGAGTTCACATTCACCACAATTTGCACAGGGGGCCGAACATAGAACTACAGGATTTAATATTTGCCTTGCTGGATTTTGGTCCGACTGTAGTGCTATTCCTTTTTATCCCCCTATTTCTCTCTCTTGGAATGGGAATATCTATTCTGTGCCTTTGTCTGTTGGAAACTGTAGTGGATTGATAACTGGTGGTCGACTTATAACCCCCAGCTGAACTGAGTAAGCGTGGTGCTGGGTGTGGGAGGCCCACTTGGGAATCATTGCCAGCAGCGTAAGAGGCAGAACTGAAGAAAAAAAGGCTGTTGGGAGCTGAGAGAAGCTGTTGGGAGCTGGTAGAAGCTGCTAGTAGCTGATGGTTGTTTTGGAGGAGCTCATCATGCTGGCTTTCCTGATAAGCTTGGCTGTTTTCATCCTCCAAGGAGTTCAAGACCTCGCTGGCACTGAGAACGGCTTTGGTTCACTTTGGGGGAGCTCTGGTCCTCACTTTTGAGCACTGCTTCCTGGCTCCAGAGGGAAAGATGGTGCACAGCTCGGTCTACTGGAGAAGGTTGCTGGGTTGGCTTCCCTGATGGGAACTTGGCCATCCTGACTGTCAGAAGAGCTCGGGACCTCACTGTTGCTGAGGATGGCTGTGGTACCTTTCGGGGGAGCTCTGGTTCTTCTGAGCGTTGCTCCCTGGCTCCAGTGCAGATCCCTCAGCCTGCTAGGATAGATCTTTCATCCCTCTGGCACAGACTTCCTAGATTCCACCACTGACCTTTGGGACTTCCCAGCACAGATCTGTGAAACAGGCCTGCATGAGATGTTGTTGTGGGCTCTGGGCCTCCAGTTGGGTTCTTGGGAGGCACTGTTATGAGCTCTTGGTATTCAGCTGGACTCATGCAGGACATTATCTCAGGATCCAGGCCCTCAGCTGTGGACAGATTTCCTGCACTCTTTTGTATATCATTCTTTGGGTGACTATTATAAATAATCTTATAAGTGTCCTCTATTATATTGTCTTCTCTTGCAAAATATCCCCCAAACCAGCACAGAAGTGTTTACTTTCCATTTCATTTGTACTGGGGCTCCCAGCTATGAGTTTGCCTTAAATCTCAGAGACTCTGGACTCGGACTTCTCAGCAATGCCAAAACTGTTCATACTTTGAAAACTCTTAGAGAGGGTCTAAATGCATTTTGCATAAAGGGATGCACATGAATCTTTCGGGGGCCAGGTTGGAATATTATGATTCATGTCTAGATGTCCCTTTGAAGCCTCTAGTGCTCACAGGTAGGGTTTTGGGGTAGGTGACTGGGTCATGGGGGCATGATATTTATCTCTGGATTAGTCCACTGCTGAGTTTATGAGTTTATAGCTAAATATAGTTTGGAGAAGGAAAGCCTGGTCAGGCTGGGGGCATGGCAGGGAAGAGTGTATCTCCCTCCCTCCTCCCTTGACCTTTCCTTCTGCTTCCACACATCCATGTTGTGAGCCACTTCTCTGCAGTCATACCTTCAGCCATGCTATCCTGACTTGGAGCCAGCCAACTGTGGACTGCAGCCTCTAAAACTGTGAGCCAGAATAGGTTCTGTGTCCCAGGAACAAGAAAGTAACTAAGATACCAATGAGAAACAAAGTTTGTCAAAGAATGGAAAATAACAGCACTGTAGAAAACGTGTTGGCGAACTATAAGTGACCAAGTCTGCTAGTATTTCTACACAGTCTTGAGCTAAGAATAGTTTTTACATGGGGTGGTAAGGAAGAAAGGAGGTCCTCAAAGCCTAAAATACAGCAGCTTTCCTTATCCACTGGGCATGCAGTCTAAGACGTATCCCCAATAAAGGCTGGTACCAACCTCAAAACATACTATGTTTTGTTCCATATACACACATTCCTTTTTCCTTTTTAACAATTTCATGGACAGATCATAATTACCGTAGATCTTAGCAGCCTTAGAATGTGATTTTTTTCCTTTCTTTATTAAGAACCTTCACATTTTCACTTAAAGAAAGGACCTTCTGGCATACCAAAATTGCGTGCATCACCACTCTTGCACTTTGGGACCATTACTGAGTAAAAAATAATTGTTACACTGTCATACTGCCAGAGTCAGTCTGATAATTGAGACAGCTACTACAATGTAACTGACATGCATGTAATGCATATAATGCAGATGTACTAGACAAAGGAATGATTCACATACCAGGCAGGAAAGAGGAGGACAGCACAATATTTTGTCATACTACTTAGAATAGCATGTAATTTAAAACTTATGAATTCTGTATTTCTGGAATGTTCCAACATTTTCAGATTGCAGTTGGCTGTGGGTAACTGAAATTATGAATCAAACTGTGAAAAATGGGTAAGAGGGCACTACTGTATTTACTATTAGGCCCTCTGTAGAAAAGTTTGCCAATTCCTCCTAAGAGGATTTAGTAATGGAATGTTTGCAGTATTTTGTTGTGTTTTATAAAGTGCATTTTCAGATCTTTTAGATGAGAGGTTACTACGGCTTGAATGTTATAAAAAGGCTTGGACTTGTGGCTGCAAATTCTATCTCATGCACTCTATCAGTATGTGATACTTTCTGTCATGTTATGGCACAACAAGATCTTTGCCAGAGGTAGGGCCCTTGACTTTAGACCGCCCAATCTCCAGAATTATAGATATAATCTGTGGTTTATCAGTTATGCTGTGTCTGGCATTATGTTACAGCAGCACAAAATGGACTAAGAAAGAGGTGTTATTCAAATTTTAATGAGTTAAGACAGCCTAACGTACATTTTTCTCTCTTTGGACCCAAAGACTCATTTTGCCATCACCCGTGTGACTTTGTGTCTTTGCCTCCACGCTGTCTCCCGTAAACAGACGTTGAGAATATGGCTGGCAATTTTAATGGAGAAGGGCTGCAACTCATATCCTAGTTCTGGAAAGGGCATATTATCCAGTCAAGTATTGAGTTTAAGGAAAAAACAATTCAAACGTCAGGAGGGGAAAGACAGGATTGAATGGTTGCATAAACAGACACACAGAACAATAAGTAAAATGTCACAGACAGAACTGCATCACAAGCCTGCATGTTCTAAGGCAACATTTCTTAAGATCAGTTCCCTTTTCTGTGAAACAGACAATAAACCTCCCATTTCACAAGATCGTTGTGAAGATTAAGTGAGGTAATACAGAAAAAGACCTAAAAAAAAAAAAAAAAAAAAAAGGTCATCAGGAAGCATTTAATAAGTCTCAGTATTATTATTATAGTTGGGGACACACAGGTCCGGAAAGCAAATCAAAATTGCAGTTTCCTAAACTTAAATTCTAATCTAGGATCAGAACCCCAGGTGTAAGTAGAGAAAAATAAGAAAGCTGGTGAAGGTCCCAAATGATGCTAAGACTCAAAGCGTCCAGAAATGAAAAGAGAAGGGAGTGGGCCCAAGTAGATGGAAATCTCAAAAACAAAACAAGATGTGCTTACTGATAAAGGAAGCACCAAATAACGGGACCAAGTAGGATCCACGTTGCAGCAAACACAGAACAGTTTTTACGAAAATTTGCAAACATAAAACACATATGTGCTCCACCTGTGCTAACAGTAACTATTTCCAACAAATACTCAAGAATATTACATTAGCTTCAAAGCCAGCAACTACCACCAGCAGCCAAGGCCGCGCTGAAACAATCAGGAACCAGAGAAAGGCAGTATGACTTGAAGAGAAGCCCCTGAAACCGGACTGGCGGTTTGTGGACCTCTGTCTTCGCTTCTCCAAACTTCCCAGGCTCCACAAGTCCTCACCCTTAAGGGATGTCTGTCTGTCGCCACTTTTCAGCCTGACTCTCTGCCACGGGACGCACATCATCTACAACTCCTTCAGACGGGGAAGAATAAAAGATCGGAAGGAAGCGGACACTGAGTGCCTACAAGACAAGCCTGGGTCCCGTTCTACAGATCTGAATGTGATCAGCGGGAAGGACGGAGAGGAAGGGGAAAGCGGAAAGTGACAGCGAGAAAGTGGAGAGCGCAGTGCGAGGATGGCAGGGACACGAACCCGAGACGGCGTGGGACGAGAGAGCGGTGGCCAGCAAGGGCAGGAAAGATCGAAGACTAGACAGAGGACAGGAGGTGGGGGCAAGGTCAGCAGGGAAGCGCACCCTGCGCCAAGCGCGGATCCCCGGCGCGAGCCGAGCGCCGGGCGACGTTAAAGGTGCCACCCACTTACCTTGCTACGCCCCCCGGAGGCCACGCGCTGCTGAGAACTGGGGCCCGGAAAAGACTGGGAAGGGACGTTTAGCATCCTAGACCCCTAATCCGGGCCTTGCCCGGCGCCCGGGGCCCGCTGCCCTACTGGCACTCTCGGGAGGACCCCTCTGGCGAGCACCGCCCGCTCCGGCTCTGAGGCCCGGAGAGGCCAAGCCCCCGACCCACTTCCGGGGTCGCCAGAGGTGATGTACGTCACGACGCACACGTCCGCGGTGGGCGGAGTCAACGGGACGCAGGGAGCGCCGGCTAGGAAGGAGGAGAGAAGTACGCATGCTCAGTGAGTTTTGCGTCCTAAACTTCAGCACTAGAAGCCGGTGACAGCTATTTCGGCGAAAGATTAGAGTGAAGCTGTTCCTGGTGCTGACAGAACCCGAGAATAATTTCTTATACAGTCCTGTTAATCCAGAACACCAGCGTTTGTCAATTGATAAGCAGTATCATCACATTACTTGAAATGCAGACTACAGTAACGTTATTAAAACCTTCTGATTTCTCTAAAATGATGTCGTGTAAGGTTCTAGGCTGTACAGGAAAGGGAACCTCACCATTGTAAAAGCCAAAGTATCAAATGCAAATAGCTACTACAGGGGAATAAAAAATTTTACCGTTAAGCACCCCCGTAGATTACTGACAAATGAATAAAACATGTTTAATCTCCTTGTGCTCGAACTCGGGCACTCACAAATTCTTCCTCCTTGTGACTGTCCATCTTCACTGAAACATACAAGGAGTTGTGCACCGGTGGAGCTCACTTCCAATTCTGGTGGTGAACAGCTGTGTTTGCAACAGACTTGGTTTTGTTGCCACCCCTGAACTTAATAAGTGAGCTACCTTATGCAAGTTAGTTTCTCAAAGCTTCGTTTCCGCATCTGTATAATGGGCTTAGGTTTTAATAAGGATCAAATTATCATATTTAAACTACATAGTAGTGTGTGGTTTATTACAGGCACTCAATAAATGGCAGTGGCTTTTGTACTAGTCCAGTATACTAACAAGAGAATCACAAACGCTATTCAAATAAATACCACTTCCTAATAATGCTCAAGTTAACTGCTGGGATTTTTTTTCTTGCATGTCCCTCAGTGAAAACACGGATTTTGAGATTAGGATCCAGCAGAAATGGAAAGTTTTGAGGAGAAAAGCAAAATAGTTCTGAATAACCCTTATCCTTTTTTATTATTCACTTTCCTGATTCTGAACACATTGTTAGGGTTTGAAATTTATCACGTCTATGGAGTTCTCAAAGTGCTTGGAAATTAAAGTTATATTTGCAGTGTCTCTAGAAAAGGAAAGTGTGTGATAGTTGTGGTCATCCAATCAAGAAGCATATCTTAGCTAGCTAGTTACCTCTGGTCTCATCCCCACCTATTATCACTGTGAAATGTTATAGGAATATTTTTACCTGCACTGAACTGTTTATTGTGAGAAGATTGTGTATGAACTAAACTCCATGACTCTAGCTTACCATATTACCTTAACCTTGTAAATTGCTCATTTTTTTCTCATTAAGTGAAGTATTTTTCTGTAAGGCTGTAAGATAAACCAATCACTGAGAATGTATTTTCACTTCCGATAGGAAAAATTTCAAAAATGAATATCAAAAGCCAGAAACCAGAGCAAAAGGAAAGTTGATAATGTTGAAGAATGTTTCATATCTACCAAATATCTTAGCTCCCACTTGGATGCACATTTAAAAACTACTTTTGAATTTTTTTCATTAGGCTCCAATGTCTTAGAGTCCATGCAAATAACTCCTCTTGAAATATTTTGTTTTAATTACAGAGATCCCTCAGGTAATACAGTAAGTATTGAACATATATGCTATTTTACTACTAGATTTAAAAATAGTAGAAAGTAGGAAGTGAGAATTACTTTACTTGTTATTTATTTGTAATCTCTAAAATTTAAGAATTCTAAAATGGATTTCCATTACCAATTGTAGGTACTGATTTAAAGTTTTTTTCACCATCTACTAATAAACACATAATAATAAATGTGTAATTGGTAACATAAAATGATTTTCTTCATTATCCAAATTACACAGTACAGTCTGTGGATAGTTTTATCTGCAATTACAACATCCAATTAAGATTAATAGAAAAGAGCAGATGTTACAAGATCATCTTGAAAAATTAAACATTGTCATTCTTTGCAAAATTATAAAAATAAATTTGTAATTTAATGAAGAGACCAAAGTTATCCTTTGTAAGCCCCAACTGCATAATTATAACACACTTAAGACATTTGTAAATGTCCCTTATTTTAAATTCCAACATTGAATTCTAGTGTGGGGAGTTTTTAAAAAGCCAAACTACCATAGTAATTTCAAAATATTTCCTTTTATTAAAAACTTATATACAAATAAATTAGTTTTTTAAAATTATGATACATTTGTACACTAAGTTTAAATCCTACAAACTTTAAATGTCATCAGAATTAGCTTAATTTTCACAGGCCAGCTCTTGAATTTCATCTTCACTATCAGAATCTTCATAAAATGAAATTGTGGCTTGAATTGGAAAATTTTTCAGAAGAGTTTCTGCTTCTTGATATAAGTAATCATAACACTTTGATTTTGGCCATAATAGTCTGAAAGAAGCAGACAACAGAGTATGTTTTACTTTTCACATTCAGCATCCTTATCCTCATGAAATGATCAAATTTCAAGGGTTTTATATGTTTAACAGTATATTATTCATTAGGTACAGCCTTTATATAATTTTAAAATGCTACTATCATAACTTTCATGGAATCTGTTTGCCAAAGTATCAATAAATGTGTGATTATTTTAAATATCCAATCTACAGTTTAGATCAAACAAATTCACAATATACCCTAAATACCCTCTTTCCTTTTTTCCCATTCAACCAAATGTGGGAGCACCACACTAAGATATTGAGAAATGATACAGGCTTCATACAAAAAATGTGCATATAAGCATGAGTACCTCAGAGCTTTAAAAATCTGACAAATATTAATTTTGTCATTCCTCTGTTTTTCATCCAAGGAAAAGAAGAGAGATAGGGCTGAATCATCAATTAAAATGCAATCACTTTAGTGTAGAGTCAGTAGTACCACGTATACATGTAATTGAGTGATGTGTATAAAGGAAAGATTATATTATTTTCACTATGTTCAATATTAGAAGGAAGAAAACTAGACAGTGAAGTTTTTAAATGTTTCTAGCAAAAACATTTAGAAACTTTATAATTTTGATGCTTACATAAGTAACTATCAATTATTCAATAAATATTGTAGTAATATCTTGTGCCAAAAATTCACAAATTGAAGATGAATACATCAAGCTCCCTACTCTCAAGAAGTTGTCAATCGAATAAAAATAATAAGAAATACAATATTAGCCAAGATAGAAATTTTTAAAGACAAATTAAATTGAAATACAATTAAATCATAACAGTAGCTAAGAAAGAAAGCAATTGCTTCTAACATTAACTCTACTTCTAATACATAACCCAAATTGCCAAAAATAAAGAATGCTGTTTAGGTGCCATCATCACAGTCTGCCCAGAATTTTCCACTGTGTATCATTTTTATTCCAGGGACTCCATCCTTTCTGAGTTCTTCCCTGTTCCAACTCTACTTTCTCCTTTGACCTTCCTTCAAGACTTCATTGGGAATGATCTACTCTCCCCTCTACACTGCATAGGGTGACCTTACAGTCATGATTTCCCTAATCCAGACTCCCAAACCTGTACTTATAAGATTTTAACTCTAGGCCCCTGATGATATTATGCTGCTCTCTACTGATATCTATATTTGGATGCTCCATAGATATATTAAATATGACAAATAGAAAACCATATTCAATAATTTGCCCCCCAAGTGTGTTTTAAACCCTAATTTCTATCTTTTTGGTACAATAGTCAAACATTCACAATCCACAAACTTGGGAAAACATTCTGGACTTTTACTTCTTCACCTACCATATCTAATATGTTATAAAGCCTAATTGTCACCTAAATATTTCCAAATCTACTCATTTCCATCCCCCACTTACAGTGTCTTAGAGAGGCTCTTACCGAAACAGTTGCAATCGCTTCCAATTTCACTTTTGGTGTTCTAAGTCTGTATATCATTTCCTTAGAGCTTTTTCTGAAAGATAAACCTGATCACTCTACTCTTCTGGCTAAAATCCCTTGAGAAGCCCTCAATACAGAGTAAAACCCATGGTTCTGCTCTCCGGCTACCCTGCTGGAACAACAACTTCACACACCCAAATGCCAGCTCCTTGCTGTTCATTAGCCATGCTGTTCCAGGCACCTGTGTGAAGACTCAGCCAGCCATCACTTATGATACACACTTCCTGCGAATATGATACACACTTCCTGCAAATATGATACACACTTCCTGTGAATATGATACACACTTCCTGCAAATATGATACACACTTCCTGTGAATATGATACACAGTCCCAACAGTTAGTCACTTCCTGCCTGGTCTATACCCTTAAAAACTGACCACAGTAAAAACTGCAACACTTACTAGGTGCTGCGATTATTTTTCCCTAGTGCTAGCTCAAAGTAGGACATTAACATGTATTGACTAGTAATGCTTCTGATAAACATTTTACAAAGATCATAAGGCTCTTTGCTTAACAGTTTTCACAAGCAAGAAAACTGCATAATTATCAACCTTTCACATGAATAAAAGTTACCAAAAAATCTCATACAAAGGTTGACTCCCTGTGGCAAAAAAAAAAAAAAAAACCAACAGTAAATATTTGCTCATTATTATTTAAAATACATTTTGAATGCTTTTAGGGTCATTATAGATGATCTTATGGTTTTCATTACATTTCTGTTTTCTCTTAAGTGTCAACCTTTGATTTGCTGTAAAACTGCAACTGTTAGCCCTAGTCTCCCTTCTGCTTTGCAGGAGAGTACTATGCATACTCTGATGTAAAGTTTCATTTCACTGGGACCTTTAGAGCTTTTTAACAAACTGGCTTTTTTTTTCAGTTGAAGACGCCACATTCCTCTTTTACTATACCTCGTAGTTTCTCTGTTCATCACACATTCCTTAAGCACTTACTAGGTGTTCACCGACTAACAGTTCAGCAACCGACCTCTTCCAGCAGACAAGAGTAACCTTGAAGAAAGATCTGCTAAGAGAGAAAAACTGCAGGACCAGCTGCAGAGCAGGGTTGTGGGAGGAGGCCCCGGGCTCCTCCCTGGCGCAGGAGAAGCAGGAGACCTTTGGTGAGGCCTGTCACTCACCTGACCGGGTGTGTGTACAGGGAAGGCTTTCCTGGGGCTGCGGTCATTCCATGGCCACCGGGCATCTGGGTACGAAAGGAGATGAATCGCCGTTACCCACGCGTCCTTCTAAGAAATTGGAAACATGCGGCGCAGCATCCCTCACCCCGTTAGGGAATGTGACCCGGGGCCTCTCCGCAGCCCAGATCTCGGCCCGATTCCTGGGGACCAGTCGTTCTGGAGGACACACCCGCCCAGGTCAAAGCCAGCAGGACCACCAGCACGCGCGCCTGGAAGCTGGGGGCGGGCTGCGCGCCTGTGTCCTTCAGCCCGGGCTGCGCTTGCACCCTCCGAGGAGCGCCCGCCACCGCGCTCACCGCCTCCGCACGGTGGTGCTGCGCCGGGTGCTCCTGCTCGCCTCGGGCCTCCCACGGCCTCCAGAAGCCTGCAGATCTGCGGGGTGGGGACACAGCGGCACGGAGGAGGCGTGAGCCCGGACCCGGGAGAACCCACCGAAGCCCGGCGCGCGGGGAGTGGGGCGGAGAGAGGAAGGGAGGAGCCAGACCCGGCGGCGGGGAGGGACGGGCAGGGGCGCCCGGGCGGCGCAGAGGCGCTGTACCCGGAGTCCGCGGCCCCGCGCGGCGCCGGGCGGTCGGGGGCCGGGGGCGGCCGGGCTCGGCTCTCCGCGCCCCCTGCGCTCCCCGCGGCGTCCATGGCTGGGCGAGGCTCCGCAGGAAGGCTGGGCGATGCCTTCTTCCATCCGGTCCGAGGCCGGCCTTTATATAGCCCTTGCGGTCTCCTGCATATTGAGAGGTTCACACGCTCTCCGCCCCTCTGTCCTCGAATAAACAAAAAGGCTGCGCGTGAAGGCGCACCGAGCTGAGCCCGGGGTGTGAACGCGTGCAGCTCCCAAATGGCATTGGAAGGGGTTTTGTCGAGCTAGTGTTAATCGCCCTTCCACACACGGCTGCGGTGAAAAACAACATTCGCCCGAGCAGCCAATTTCCGTGTGAACAGGTTAGGAGGGGATAAAATTAAGCGATTCTGCACGTTTTGTGTATTTCTGCAAAAAGGCCAAGCGGCTGACCATTGCTTGACTCGCCCGTCACAGGGCTTTTTGGCCTTTGGCAAAGGCAGCTGGTTCTGCATCCCGTGTTCTCAAGGCTGGATGTGGACTGAAATGAACAGGAATGGGCTGAACTCCTCCCCCTGGAACAATTTTTGAATAATGGGTGAATCCATGAACTCCTCCAGAAGGAAATGTTGGGTTTTTAGAATGTATTGATAAGCTAGGTTCACACACCCGCCTATTACTATTGGAGCATAGCATCCGCAACAAGACATGAAGTGGAAAAGACTGAACGTTCCGGCCAACAGGGCAGGGACTAAAATAGTCTGAGCTAGTCTTATAATAGCTCCGTATATCTTCTGCTGTCTGTGTGATTCCTCAAATCTTGTCAATAAGCCCATACCTCATAAATTTCATTTATATATTTCTGTTCCTCAAAGATAATTTGAAAATCCTGGCGGGGGTGGTTATGAAATAATAGTGAAATTTTGGAAAGTTATATGAAACAAGTTAGTTATTCTTTCTTGCACCTGTTTCTCCTGTTATCCCTCAGTTATCTAGACAGGCCTGTTAAAATTGGTAAAAATATTACGCTGCAAATGAAATCCGATATATAAAAGTTATACTTTTCCAATAACGCAGCTAAACAATGAGGGCTCTTAAATTATCCCTTAAAGGCTGTAGGTGAAAAACCTTAAATGTCAGTTATAGCGTCGCTGTTATACATTCACTTATGTACTTCCCAAGAAAATAATACATTCATTTACTACCTAAGAACCTAGAATGATCTACCTGCTAAGAGAATGAGGTCTAATTTCCCCAGGATAATGAAATCAAGGAGGGTAGATACTTTGTGCGTGTCTCCACAGCTCAGAGTCATTGTTAGGCTAAATAAAGCAAAGCTTACTGAATGCCAACACGGAGTTGGCCCTCAACAAATTATAAGCTATGGAGAAAATATACAGATGTTAGGTTGTCTGATGAAATGACATTATTTTAATTCCATAACATTTTTGATGTGTCTGTAATGTGACTAAGTACTGTACTTTCACGATGTGATGGTGGATAAGATATTCCCCCATCCTCAAGAAGATTATGATCATTACCAACTCTGGCCATTGCAGTTGCCCTATAAGCAAAGACTTTTTTTGTAGAAAGGACACATACCACAATGAAAGCACATCTTAGGCAAAGAAGTGACACAGAGAGGGACTTAAGTCTTTTGGGTGTGGGGACCATCTTCTTAGAGTAAATGAAACCTAAGCTTAAAAGGATGAGTCAAAGAGTATTATAATCTCTGTATGTGTGTGGTACAGGGGCAGAAAAAATAGAAATGAGGTATTGCTGAACTAGAGATACAGCTGAAAAGATAGAAAGCCTAATAGCCAGGCTAAGACATTTTGGTCTTATTTTATAAACAGTGGGGAAACATAGGACAGTGGGATGGTCAAAGTTTGCATCTTATAAAAATAACCATGGAAGCTACACACAAGATGGAGTTAGGGAAGTCTGGTATTGGGGACTAGAACACTTTAAAAAGTACCATAGTTCTTTAGGAAAGATACAATAAGATGTACACTCAGAATGAAAAAAGAGGATAGATCTGAAGGATTTTTAGAAAATAAGAATCTAAAAAAACATGCTGAGTCATAAGATGCATGGAAACATGAACGTGGAGTTTAGATGTGCTCCCAAGTGTCTATCTTAAGTGAACAGCCACTGATGGCTGAGGCAAAGACAAAGAGACAGGGAATGTGGGAGAAAGAACAGCTGAGGTACTTTTATGTTTTTTATTCTGATATTAGCACACAGGGAAAAATAATAAGTTTGGTTTGGCTCTTCAATCGTCAGGACGCTATATGGCAGTAAGAAATAACTCTAAAATCTCACAGGTTTAAAATAGCAAGATTCATTTCTCACTTGTGTTATAGATGCACATTTTTGGTTAGTGGAAGAATAGCTGTAGATCATGTTCACTTAAGGATGTAAGCTGTTGGGGCCTTTCTGGAATATTACCAGTTAACAGGGAGAAAGGAATAAATTTTATGTCCATTTTCAAAGGTTTCTGCCTAAACTGACACACACTACCTCCAATATATTTCACTGGCCAAAACAAGTCTCGTGACAGACCCAATTTTAAAGAAGCAGGAAAATGCATGTTTACATATTCCTCCAAAGAGGAGGAATATATAAACAGAAATAAGCAGCATATAAAGTACTATGATCTTACCTGTTGGCCACGGAGTGAATGTTCAGGCTTCTTTCCTTCCTACTTGCCGTCACTCCGAGGAAGGGAACCCAGAGAGATCTAATAGATTTCAGAGGCTTAGTAACATGTAGACAAAAAAGATATCCAGAGAACAGAGGCAAAAGTTCTGGACGCCAGTAGAGTTTAGGGCTAAAGATTTAAATGTAGAGAATATCACCAAAGAAACGGTCATTAAAATAATCCACTTGTCTTTCCCAGGGAGATTTTATAGCTTGAGAACAGGACAGAGCTCTGGGTATTCACCATTTGACTGTAAGGTAAGAAAGTACACCAAAAATTTTTTTCCACTGAAAAGATAGTAGCAGGAGAAGGTGAATCAGTGCAGCAGGTGTTATGGAAACACTGAGGCAAAATAATTCCAATAGAAAAGAAGAGATCTACCCCTCAAAAGGAAGAAGAGATCCAAACATTAAGTGTTACCAAGAGCCCAAATAAGAGAAGTCTTAATTAAACTTGGCAGTTAAGGGTTTATAAGTAACTTTAGAAGAACATCATTTGATAAAAAAGATGTATTTTTATACAATCGAGTATTACTCAACTATAAAAAAAGATAAACTCGAGGCTTTTGTAGGTAAATGGATGCAACTAGAGACCATACTCATAAGTGAAATAAATCGGACCCAGACGGGGAAACATCATATTGTCTCCCTGGTGTAGGAAACTGAAAGAGTAAGCAAAACTCAAAACATACAATAGATGATAGGAAAAGGAAAGAAATTGCCAAAAGGAAGGAAAAATTGAGATGAGGGAAAGGAGAAAAAAGAAAGAAGGCAGGCAAAATAGATAGATGGATAGATAGATAGATGTAGAAGAATAGCTGGGATAACTGTACTGCTGATGTGTGATACTATATTGAAAGGAACAGAAAATTTTTCATATTCCAACCAGTTTTGCATGCTTGTATCTGGTAATCTGAGCAACTGATTTGAAGACAATAATACGCAGTGGAACAACCACTGGTGAACTCCTACCATCTTGTCTAGTGAAGCTCTGTATTATCTCTAATGTTTTATCTAATAAATATTTTTTATTCTCTTTAATGGTTTGAACAATCTTCCATTCTTACATCTGGTAATCTGAGCAATGTAGTTGAAGACAACAATACATAATATAACAATCACTGTTAATTCCTATCATTTTGTGGTGAAACCCTGTATCACTTTTAATGTGTTTGCTTTGTTTTGTTTATGTTTGTGACGTTGGTATGCTGCTATTGTTCTTTTTTTCTTTTACTACTGTCTTTAAAATAAGAAAATGAAGAACATCATTTGAGTGTGTATAGACAGAAACTTTTTTTTTTTTTACAGCAAGTTGAATTGTATATGAGAGATGAAGAAAGAAATTGAGTTGAGGCTACCCATCTTAGAAGAAAAAAGAGAGAAGTGGGAATGCGGGATTAGTAGAGGGATATTTTTAGGGGCTCAAGAGACAAAAATATGCTTTTAAAATGAAAAGAAGAGTGAGAAGAGGAGGGATTCTGGACAGAGAGGCTGAAAGATGGCTCCTGGTCTCCAAAGACGAAAGAAGAAAGATCAGTCCTGAAGAGGATCCTTACCAGGTTGCAGGGTATGAATCCGTAACAATAATAATCCAGGTCCAAAACCTGGGATGTCAGCTTAATCAAAGTTGGCTAAATTTGGGGTGAGGAAGGATCTGAAAGAACATCAGTTGTCCTAAAATTGTGAAAAAAAAACATTACTAGAAGGAAAAAAGAGGGGAACAAATTAATGAAAATATGACAAGATTTATACTTGATCAAATTAATGGTAAACTTAGAAATAGAAATATGGGCTACTAGAACTAGAAGGTCCTGAATCTTCCATTTATATGCAATTTCTAGTTTACGTTACCTGTTTGTACAGATCTTTGAAACTGATTTCTACTGAGGCTGTGTTAAAATGCTGTATTCTTTTTGTTTGCTTTGGGGTGCTATACATATTTTATCATTTTCTGATTTAAAACGAGATCTTTTAGCTAAATCATGAAAGGAAATATTAATTTTAAGAAGTAGCAGAAGACGAAAGCAATCAGTGTAATTTCAGGATATCATTATTTTAGAATGATATATTTCATAAGCAATTGTGATTCAGTACAAAGACAAAGTATTGTAAAACAAATATAAAGAGGAACAAAATCATAATATAATCCACAGTATAACAGATCTTACAGTTTAAATTTATTCTGTAGTGAATTTTTACTTATGTATTTAAAATATGTACTTTATATAGCACATAACACACTTTTCATAACACATGAGTGAGTTAGATGAACCAATAATCCATTAGGAAGGAAGTATATAAAATGTCATGTGCCAATTAATCTTAATTGTCATTTTGACTGGATTAAGAGACTCCTGGAAAGATGATTGGATCATGGGAGCAATGTACTCATCCGTGGATTAATCCAATGGTGTTCACAAATGAATGTGCTCTCAGGAGGTGGGTTCTGGTTAGAGGTGGGCAGAGGGAGCATGCCTTTGGAGGGTGTGTCTCCCTTGGGGTTCTTTCCTCATGTTCTGCTTCCCGAATGATATAAATTGAGCAGCTTTGCTCCACTATATCCTTCCATTAGGATCTTGAAGCCAGCTTACCTCTGAAACCATGAGCCAGATAAACCTTTTCCTCCTTTCAGTTGTATATGTGTGGTACTTTGCCACAGGAATTAGAAAGCTGACTAATACATTTCATTTATTCAACAAGTATTTATTGGACAGCTGTATGTGTCAGGGGATGTTTAAGGGAAGCATGGGCCTTATACATGGACAAAACAGACATAACTGTAATGCTTTCATGGAGCTCTATTCTAACAGAC